AATGATTTGGCTCATGAATTTTGCGAATGCCATATTTCGAGTGGACAACAAGCACACATGTGTCCATCGGGTGGAAGCATCAATAAGGACCATAAAATATCGAAATGGTCCGGATGAAGGATTAATTGGTCCACAAATATCACCCTGTAGCCTCTGCAGGAAGACAGGTGACTCAAAATCAATCTTAGGACGCGAGGGACGAATAATAAGTTTTCCCTGTGCACATGGAACACATGTGTAATCTTTTGTAGAAAGAATGTTTGTCCTAAGAAGGTTATGTCCAGTTGAATTTGAAAGAATCCGGCCTATCATTGTTTGTAATAACGCTAGTCTAAATACTTAGTCTAAAAATGATAGTCTAAATAAATACTACTTTCGATTTAAATTTGTCTAAATCTTCTTTATTCTCTTTTGGGTAGCATTGCCATTGTCTTCATCTTCAGTACTTGTCCTCATTTTTTTTTATTCGTAGTGTGTCATGTGCAATTGAGCTACTGGCGGTAGCTTAAAAGGCAGCGTCATTGATGTAGCAAAAATAAGATGTGAGCTCGGGTGTTTTATATCGTCCTCAGGGGATTGGGTGTTAGATATATTAACAGATTTACCTCCTGGGAAGAAGCCAATTGGAGTAAAGTGGGTTTACAGAACGAAATACAAGTCAGTATATCCAACTTGAAGACGAAGACATTTTTTAAATTGAAGAAGAAAATTGGGATGACCAATATATCCAACTTGGTTTAAAGGAGGCAATGTTATAATAATAATAATAATGCTATTATTATTATTATTAGTAATATATTAAACCAAGTAGTTAGCAGTTAATTTGTTAAAAAATAAAAGGAGGTGTGTGAACGTGGATGCATGCATAGCACTACGTGAAATGGAGTACATGGAATCATGGCCTCTAATTACTTCCTAAACTTTAGCATTGTTGCTTTTCTCTTTCACTATAAATATGTGGCTTTTGTTTATTCATAATCATCAAGTGAAGTAATAAACATTTACTTCTATTCCTCTCTCTCTCTTCTCAATATATAGTAATAATCTATTATTACTATATATTGAGAAGAGAGAGAGAGGAATAGAAGTAAATGTTTATTACTTCACTTGATGATTATGAATAAACAAAAGCCACATATTTATAGTGAAAGAGAAAAGCAACAATGCTAAAGTTTAGGAAGTAATTAGAGGCCATGATTCCATGTACTCCATTTCACGTAGTGCTATGCATGCATCCACGTTCACACACCTCCTTTTATTTTTTAACAAATTAACTGCTAACTACTTGGTTTAATATATTACTAATAATAATAATAATAGCATTATTATTATTATTATAACATTGCCTCCTTTAAACCAAGTTGGATATATTGGTCATCCCAATTTTCTTCTTCAATTTAAAAAATGTCTTCGTCTTCAAGTTGGATATACTGACTTGTATTTCGTTCTGTAAACCCACTTTACTCCAATTGGCTTCTTCCCAGGAGGTAAATCTGTTAACTCCCAGGTACCATTCTTTTCAATGGCACGTATCTCCTCATCCATCGCCTTAAGCCAATGAGTTTCTGTAGCAGCCTCCTCAAAAGTTAAAGGATCACAATCTGCAAAGAGAGCAAATTGAATAATCTCTTCATCAGACAGGTCATTATCTTGACCCAAAACATAATCTTGCAAGCGAGCTGGTAAGTGGCGCTCGCGCTGAGATCGCCGAACTGACGATTCTGGCTGTGAAGGAGACTGGACATTATCTGGAATCGGTTGCTCTTCAACAATATTTTCAACAGCATGAATAACAACTGAACTTTCATCTTTAGCTAACCAATCCCAGGCACCATATTCATCAAAAGTGACATCACGACTTATAACAACCTTTTTAGTTTCAGGATTGTATAGTTTATAAGCCTTTGAAGCGTCACTATAACCAATGAATATGCATTTCTCACCTTTATCATCCAACTTCTTTCTCAATGGATCTGGCACATGTGCATATGCCAAACATCCAAAAACCTTGAGATATTTGATAGAGGGTTTTCTCCCATTCCATGCTTCTTCGGGCGTCTTATCACTGACACTTTTAGTTGGACACCTATTCAACACATAGACAGCACAAGCAACAGCTTCTGCCCAAAAAGGCTTAGGCAGATTCTTGGATTTCAACATGCACCTTACCATATCCATGATAGACCTATTCTTCCTCTCAGCCACTCCATTTTGTTGTGGAGTGTATCTAGCTGTCATCTGGTGCTGAATGCCCTTCTCTTTCAGAAAATTATCACAGGCAATATATTCTGTACCTCTATCAGTTCTCAAGATTTTAATTTCATAACCACTCTGCTTTTCAACAAAAGCCTTAAATTGTTTGAAAACATCACATGCTTCAGACTTTTGCTTCAGAAAGTAAACCCATGTTTTCCTACTGAAATCATCAATGAAAGTAATAAAGTACTTACAACCTCCATGTGAGGGAACCTCCAACGAACACAGGTCTGAGTGAACAATCTCCAACTGTTTTGTAGCTCTCCTTGACTTGCCCACAGGGAAGGGATCTCTATGCTTCTTCCCAATCACACAAATCTCACATATACGATCAGGAACATTCACAATAGGTAAATCAGAAACAAGTTCCTTTCTCGCAAGATAGTTTAATCCAGAGAAATGAAAATGCCCAAACCGCATATGCCATAACCAATTATCATCACAAACTTCAGAATTAAAGAAATCAAGGAGAGTATGCTTAATTTTCAAAGGAAATAGTCGATTTTGGGACATATTTACCTTTGCAATCAAAACTCCTTTAGCATCTTCAATGGTACAACACCCTTGAGCAATATGTATCTTATATCCTTTTTCTGACAACTGACCCAAACTCAACAAATTTTGGTGTAGTTCAGGAACATAGAACACATCGGATATAAAATTGTGAGTACCATCCTTCAACTGAATAGAGATTTTACCTTTTCCCAAAATTGGCACCTTTGACTTATTGCCAAACGTTACTTCAGACCGGACTGATTCATCTAGTTCGGAAAACAATTCTTTCTTCCCACACATATGGTTACTACACCCAGTATCCAAGAACCATATGTTCTTATCAGCAGAAAAACTATCACTGGCCAAAAGTAAGGTTTCAGAATTCTCACCAGACTTTTCAGCAGTATTTTCAGCAATGTTTGCTTGATTTCCACGATTGTTGTCCTCATTATACCAACAATCTGCAATCTTGTGTCCATACTTGCCACAATTGTAGCAATGAAATGGAAATTTACCTTGTTTGGTATTACCTCCACCTCTTCCTTGGTTGGAGTTACCACGTCCTCCTCCTTGGTTGAAGTTACCACGACCTCTTCCACCAGAACCTCCTCTTCCTCTTCCACGACCTCTACCAGATCCTCCACCTCTTTGATTAGTGCCAGTCACATTAAGGGTGACTTGGCTCTTCAAAGCTTCTTCTGCTAGTGGTTCCGATTTTGACGCAATCCTGTCAATATGACTTTCTACCATACCTTTCAGCTCTGCAATTGATAAGAGCTCGGTTTTGTGTGACTCTGTTATTGAAGCCACCACATGGTCATACTTCATCGGCATAGTTCGTAGAACTTTTTCAACCACTGCACCATCTTCAATTGTATCTCTGTATAACCTCATCTTATTCACCATATCAATAAGACGAGTGAAATACGCATCTACTGTTTCTGTAGAGGTCATCTCACAATTATCGTACAACCTTCTCAACGACTGCAACTTAGACTTCTGTGCCCGATCGACTCCTTTGTGTGACACCTTTAAGATGTCCCAAGCTTGTTTTGCTGTTTGAGCACGAGCTAATTTCTCAAAAATGGAATAATGAACACCTTGGTGAATCTGACCCAAGGCCAATTTATCTCGCCGTATAACGGCTGCTTCAGCTCCTTCGGGTAGACCAGGATCAACAAAGCTCCAAAGATTTTGAGCTTGCAAATGTGTGGACATCATAATTTGCCAATAATTGTAATCGAGTTTCCCGTCCAATTTGGGACCCGTCCATAAAATATTGAAATTTGCAGCCATATTTCACTACGGAAAATATCTCGGGGTTGAAAGGTTGACTGGCTCTGATACCAAATGTTAGATATATTAAATATAATATATTTAATATATATTATATTAAATATATTATATTTAATATATCTAACATTGGGGGATATGGCACGCAATATGCAATCACAAGAAACTAGGCACTAGCATAAGGAAATCAACAAGAAGCTAAGCAAAATACAAGTTTAAGGAAATGATAAGACTAACACATTTACACAAAGATAAACACAAAATAAAGAGATAGGACTCAAGCTAGGGAGCATTATCATCTAGATGCTTTAACAACCTAAGGGATTAGGGAGAACAAGTAACCAAGGAATCAAGCGGGAATGCACGTAAGTATCCTAGTCTATGAACCATTCTCGTAATTAATAAACAAGGATTAGGACAAGGAAATGCCCCACTTTCGTGGTGAATCAATTCCAAGTCTATCAAGCACACAAAGCATCTAAAGCCCCCAATTTCCCCTATCTTCGTAGGAAGAAATCGGGTCTATGCAAGGGGTGGCTTGGATTCATCACCCAACTCTCATTGAGGCAAGGAATCCTCCAAAAACAAGCTAATGAATGTGTACATCAAACATTAACAAGATATAAATACAAAACCTTCATAAACACATGAACCCTAGGTTGGAGTTCATCCCCTTTTTTGCAATAATCACAAATCAAGCATCAAGATAGATAATACAACCCTAACTCAAGTCCATAAACTAACTACTCATGATTCAATAGCATAAAGAACACAAAAACATAAATATAAAGCATAAACATTGCACATTAAAGAGATAAAAGAGAGAAGAAAACTTCACTAAGAAATGGATGGTGGAATCTTGAAATGTTGGAATCCAAGCTTCAAATCCAAGATTACAAGCTTCAAAAGTGTTAAGAAACATAAATCTAAGCCTAATCTAACCTAAAAATATGAAGGAGAATGAAAGAGAGTGTCTAGGGCTCAACCATGGGTCAAAACCGTAGAGAAATGAGTGAATTCGCGCCTAAATAGTGAACAGAGCACAGAGGGACGCCCACAGGGATGGGCGTACGGCAGGCAGTACCATTTATTGTAGTGTTCACTGGAATTTGCACAGAAAAATACACGGCCGTGTACTTGGCCGTGTTCACTTGGCCGTGTACTTGGCCGTGTCTTTTGTCCTTCAAAACGTCAGAATTTGGAACTATGGTCTTCATGAAAGTTGTAGCCCTTTGAGTCTTCTTTCCAATGGCGCAAGAATCACTTCATTTGGACATTCCTAGGCCGAGATATTGTCCAAAAACCAAACAGTGGTCAGTTTTGGATTGTAAGTTTGGAACTTCAACTTCAAGGACAATTTTGAACCATGTGGCTTCCTTTTTAGGCTTTGATGTCTGAATATGAGTTGTAGCTCTTTGAATCTTCTATCCAATAGGACAAGAATCACATAAATTAGATATTTCTAGACCGAGATATGTCCCGAAAACAGAACAGTGGCCAATCCATGCGAGAATTTCAGCTTGTTGACACTTGTTCCACTTTTGCCTTGGTTTAATTTGTCCATATGATCAACACCATTGAAAACATCACTCTTTGGCTCCTTTGGAAGTGTTGCATCCATCTCCTTAGCTTCACCTTGGCTCCCCTTGACTCCAAATGCATCCAACATGATCTAAAATCCTTCATTTTTACTCAAAGATAATGAATTGTGCATAATGGATCAAATGGGCAAAATAAAGATCATTTTGAACAACATTGTGACACTTCATAAACAAAACAAGGTTAAATATGGGGTATAAATATGAACAATTATGCACTTATCAACTCCCCCACACTTAAACATTTGCTTGTCCTCAAGCAAAAACAAGAAATAAATCACCATCCTAGCAATGAAATTGATCATACTCCCAACTTGCACAACCAATCAAACCACAAACCAACTTGCTACAAGACAACTTGTTTCAAGAATCACCTTAGCTTGGCACACAAGTTCCATTCTCAAGCCAATAACCAAGCACCAAAACCATTAAAGTACATGAGGGTCAAGTGTGCACAAACGCTAAGTTGAGATTATGCAAAACTTGGCTTTGAATGAGATTCCATAGGCTTGCCCTTCATACTCCTACTAGTTCAACTCTAAGAATGCATGCTAAGATCAAAAGGTCTTTATTTGGCTTGTAATGGGGCTAAGGGTGAAAGGTTAACAAAGAAGGGGTATAAGAATAAAACAAAGGAGAGAACTTCACATCTATTCACAATTGGAGCTAGAAGAGATATAACTTCTATGGACTAAGGAGCAATTTACAATGGAACAAAAAGCAACACTCTAAAGAGGTGGGGGTTGAGTACAACTTTGAACACAAACTAGAATCAAGTTTCAAACTTTTATTCTTCTTCCTTTTCTTTTCATTTTTCTCATTTCATCTCTTTTTCAAGACTTTTTTCTCAATTTTCTCATCATTCTTTTTTTTTTTTTTTCAAATCAACAAACAACTTACTCAAAGAATCAAGACCCCCACACTTAGGCAAAATTATCAAGAGGATTACTTACAAAACAAGCTCCAATAAAGATCTCTTCCAAGAAAAAGAACAAATGCTCTATTCTCTCAAGGGTGGAGGGAAGAATTTTGGCTAAGGGTTAAGGGTTAAAGATGAGGGTTAACACAAGGAAAAACAATCACAATGTAGGGACAAGTGCTTATCACTTATTAAACAAACACAAAAGGCTCAACGGGGACAACTAGTGGTAAACACATGTGTAAAGGGTAGGCGTGAAAGGCTCGGGCTAAACAAAAATGGCCTAAATCATTTCTAAGCATGCAAACCTTAGACTTCACACGAGGAGTAATGAGGCAAGTTCTAGCAAAACAACCATGACCGAAATCTCACATAAGCCTTCACTAGCAATGCATAACACACAAGATCAAGAATTGATTCAATTATTAGTTGGTTAACAAGGCTATTGGCAAGAGAATAGATCAATCATGAGTTACCCCTTGGCTCATCAATCACAAGTTGAATTGCAACAAGTTCCTCCAAAACAAACCACAAACCAACAAAGAGGGAGTAAATCACAACTTCAAGCAAGGAAAGGTAATTTACCAAACACTATGCACAATGAGTCATCCAAGCAAAGTTTCAAAAAGTTTCAAAATTTCAAAATTTTTTCATTTTTTCAATATTTTGTCCACCCCCGCCCCCCCCCCCCCCCCCCATACTTAGAAATTACATCGTCCTCGATGTAAAAGAAAATAAAGTACAAGGGGGAAAGGGTTGCACAATAAGCACAAGGAGCACAATCTCTACTATCTACGCCAAGTAAAACACTATACACAATTAAAGAAAGTAGAGAAGGTAGATGAGACTCCCCTAATGAATCTTCTTGTGTCAAAGAATCATCATGAAGCCATCTTGGAATTGAGCATACTCCTTGGTGTCATTCCTAGAGTCAAGAGCATATAGACATGAAAGCACAAGTGAAAGCATGATATATCAAAAATAAAAGTGCTAAGAAAAATAAAGAAGAAAGTAAAGTCCAATAAAATTAAAGATAACATGGGGTGCCTCCCATAAAGCGCTAAGTTTAATGTCGCTAGCTCGACTCATCCTCTCAAGGTAAACCATCAAAGGATTTGAGAATGAAGATCCCCTTCTTTCCATCGACCTTTTCTTCCAAAAAGCACTTCAAGTGGTAGCCATCAATAAATTCTCTTAAGCTCATCTTCACCACTTCAAAGTTTAAGAAACTATGCTCATCCAAATCAAACTTCAAACATATCCCTTCCTCGAAACCATTTTTAATCCATAAGTCAAACAAGGATTTCTTCCTAAACATTGCTTCTTGGTAGTAGATATGAGATTGACCAATCCCAAAGTCTCCATTCTCATGATTTCCCTTTTCTTGAGCAAGTAATGGAAACCTTGGGTCTCCGTCATGCACTAATAGGAAGTAAGAATCCTTGGATATGAATATAGGCCAATGAGGACCTACACTTTCAAGAATATTGACTCCTCCCGGTTCCCAAATCACTCTAAAGTCCTCATCCAAGGGAGTGTCATCCATTGAAGGGCATTCTTCATGTGTGCCACAAATTTCATCAATTTCATCATTCTTGAGCATTTCTTCAATTGGACCATCTTCAAGTTGTTGTTCCTTATCACCATTTCCTTGCAACTCTATACTCTCTTCCCAACTTGGTGTTTCCATCTCAATGCACTCATCATAAACCTCATCATCTTCATTTTTATCTTCAAGGTCCTCACCTCGCTTTTTATTTTCTTCAACCACATGACCTTCATTTGGCAAGAGCAACTCTTGTAGAACCTCTCCATTGGAAGATAATTCTTGAATGGGTTCTTGAGTTGCCAAACCTTGTCTTTGAGCCATCAAGTTGTCTAGTTGAACTTGTAGCTCATTCATTTGCATAAGCATATTGGCCATCATGGACTTCATCTCGAACTCTTGATCAAATGGTTGACATTCTTGTTGAGGTTCTTGGTAAGGGACTTCTTGAAATTGGTATTGATATTCTTGTTGAGGTTCTTGATGTGGAGGTTCTTGAACTTGGCTTTGATATTGGAAATTAGGATCAAAGATGTAGCATCCTTCGGCTTCATGTGGTCCTCCACATATGGCACACCAAAGAGGTTGTGGCATGAACATTGGTGGTGCACTTCCTTGAAAAGCTTCTTCATTGACATTGATATTATATTCCAAAGCTTGTTATTGATCATCTTGATGAGGCACTTGGTAAGTGGGAGTCAAAATATGGCAACTTTCCAAAGCATGAGAACCACCACATATAGCACACCATGGAGATTGTGGCTCCAAAGCTTGAAAAGTTTCTTCTTGAGGGGCTTCTTGACTCATGTTGATACCACACTCTTGAGGGAAAGGTTGACAATCTTGAGGTGGTGTTGGGCTTGTGAAGTTTAACTTGTAGCAATTCTCCAATGCATGGGCTTCACCACAATAGGAACACCACTTAGAATAAGAAAGGAATGATTGAAGCGGACCACCTTGAAAGGTCTTTATACCCATTTTGATGAAATCGGGCAATGACATTCGTTGCTCTTGGAAATCATACCCCTCCATAATTCAAAGTTCTTAATTGAGTGGTGAAAACTCTTCCTTTTCAATTAAGAGTGAATGTACAAAGAAAAGATCCTTCAACAAAATCTCAATCAAGGTAAGACAATAAGCTCTTTGAACAATAAAAACAAACAAAAAGAAAGAAAAGACTTAGTCTCCTAAGATTTCCTAAACTCCAATGCTAGCAAAACAAGCAATCACATAGAACCACCAAATTGCCAATCCCCGGCAACGGCGCCAATTTTTGATGTAGCAAAAATAAGATGTCAGCTCGGGTGTTTTATATCGTCCTCAGGGGATTGGGGGATATGGCACGCAATATGCAATCACAAGAAACTAGGCACTAGCATAAGGAAATCAACAAGAAGCTAAGCAAAATACAAGTTTAAGGAAATGATAAGACTAACACATTTACACAAAGATAAACACAAAATAAAGAGATAGGACTCAAGCTAGGGAGCATTATCATCTAGATGCTTTAACAACCTAAGGGATTAGGGAGAACAAGTAACCAAGGAATCAAGCGGGAATGCACGTAAGTATCCTAGTCTATGAACCATTCTCGTAATTAATAAACAAGGATTAGGACAAGGAAATGCCCCACTTTCGTGGTGAATCAATTCCAAGTCTATCAAGCACACAAAGCATCTAAAGCCCCCAATTTCCCCTATCTTCGTAGGAAGAAATCGGGTCTATGCAAGGGGTGGCTTGGATTCATCACCCAACTCTCATTGAGGCAAGGAATCCTCCAAAAACAAGCTAATGAATGTGTACATCAAACATTAACAAGATATAAATACAAAACCTTCATAAACACATGAACCCTAGGTTGGAGTTCATCCCCTTTTTTGCAATAATCACAAATCAAGCATCAAGATAGATAATACAACCCTAACTCAAGTCCATAAACTAACTACTCATGATTCAATAGCATAAAGAACACAAAAACATAAATATAAAGCATAAACATTGCACATTAAAGAGATAAAAGATAGAAGAAAACTTCACTAAGAAATGGATGGTGGAATCTTGAAATGTTGGAATCCAAGCTTCAAATCCAAGATTACAAGCTTCAAAAGTGTTAAGAAACATAAATCTAAGCCTAATCTAACCTAAAAATATGAAGGAGAATGAAAGAGAGTGTCTAGGGCTCAACCATGGGTCAAAACCGTAGAGAAATGAGTGAATTCGCGCCTAAATAGTGAACAGAGCACAGAGGGACGCCCACAGGGATGGACGTACGGCAGGCAGTACCATTTATTGTAGTGTTCACTAGAATTTGCACAGAAAAATACACGGCCGTGTACTTGGCCGTGTCTTTTGGCCTTCAAAACGTCAGAATTTGGAACTATGGTCTTCATGAAAGTTGTAGCCCTTTGAGCATTCTTTCTAATGGCGCAAGAATCACTTCATTTGGACATTCCTAGGCCGAGATATTGTCCAAAAACCAAACAGTGGTCAGTTTTGGATTGTAAGTTTGGAACTTCAACTTCAAGGACAATTTTGAACCCTGTGGCTTCCTTTTTAGGCTTTGATGTCTGAATATGAGTTGTAGCTCTTTGAATCTTCTATCCAATGGGACAAGAATCACATAAATTAGATATTTCTAGACCGAGATATGTCCCGAAAACAGAACAGTGGCCAATCCATGCGAGAATTTCAGCTTGTTGACACTTGTTCCACTTTTGCCTTGGTTTAATTTGTCCATATGATCAACACCATTGAAAACATCACTCTTTGGCTCTTTGGAAGTGTTGCATCCATCTCCTTAGCTTCACCTTGGCTCCCCTTGACTCCAAATGCATCCAACATGATCTAAAATCCTTCATTTTTACTCAAAGATAATGAATTGTGTATAATGGATCAAATGAGCAAAATAAAGATCATTTTGAACAACATTGTGACACTTCATAAACAAAACAAGGTTAAATATGGGGTATAAATATGAACTATTATGCACTTATCAGTCATGCCATGAGATTATGATGTAATAAGTTTTAAATTTGTCTTGCTATGTATATGATTGAGGTCTTAGTTGTACTATGAACTATTTATTATCTTGCAAGCGTCTTGATATTTGGCAGTGGTAGTATTTTTCCCTACATATGTTTCATGTGTTGTGAGATGTGTTCCGTAGATTATCATGTGAAAGTATTGAAAAAAATTATTAATATTTATTATATTTGTATAAAATACTTGGTAAATATATATAAAACATATTTTGTATTATAACTTCGATATTTAATTACAATATATTGTAAAAACAAGACAATGACAATATAGTGAATGTAATTGATTAATGAATTTGAAAGTATGGAATCTTTGAATTGTAGAAAATAAAGATAATATAATTAATGAAATTATATATGTTTTTTATGTTTTTATAATGAATTTTGTTTTTGAATAAAGGCAATATAGACATCTAGTTATAAATTAATTAAATGAAAAAAAAAATTAACCTAAATTCGTTTTTTTTAAATGCAAGAAAATGACTGCAAGGTTACTGATTTATAATCTTTGATGCAACTTTGAATGTTATTTATTTAGTTGGGCTAATTATTTGACTAAAGTTTATGTTAAGTTTTATATTGTATTTTTTAACATATGCGTAGTATATGTTTTAGAATTATGCCAACTCTGATTCGGGTGAGGTTAGAACCTAAGACCTTTCTTATAAAAATTAATAAGTTAAGAATAATAAATAGTTAACGGAATATTCCCTTACTAAAGTTTAATCTAACGGAGTTTAGGGTTATTTAAGGGAATGAAATAATATAATAGAGGGTAAATAAGGAAAATCATTAAAAATATACTAAAATCAAAATAATATTAACCATTCATTTTAAGAAACAATGGTAACGACATTTTTTTGTTCCAGTTAAGGGCCTAACATTATTGGCTCTTATTAGAATTGTAGATAGATAGAAATAATAATTTAGTAGCTACAACAAAAAATAATACATATGCATTTCTTTAATTTAGAATATTGTGTCTACAATGTCTTTATTCAAAAAACATTATTCAATATAATTTCATTAGTTATATTGTCTTTATTTTTCTCCAATATAAAAATTCTTTACGTTCAAATTCATCAATTGATTATATTCACTACATTGTCCCTACAATGTCTTTATTTAAAAAAAAAATTATTCATTATCAATAAATTAATTAAGAGAAATAATTTCATTAGTTATATTGTCTTTATATTTCTCCAATGGAAAGATTCTTTACATTCAAATTCATCAATTGATTACATTCACTACATTGTCTATTATCTTTTTTGTGAACTATTTTTAATTAAATATCAAAGTTATAATACAAAATAATGCTATATATTTATTTATCAAGTATTTTATTAATACCATGAAAAAATTTTAAAAATATAATTAATAAAGGCAATCATATTAACTACTTGAGAGATTTGTTGACAAAGAGATTTATTCAAATCACACAACAAATTGAAGTGAGAACTACCTCGCAATGTCCTTGCTTGACAATCAGCAGTTAGCGTTAGCGGATTATATTAGCGAATTTGACCATCAAATTATATCAACGGTTGGTAAAAAGATATTTGAAAAAATTAGCTGTTTAGATTAACATGTAAAATGACCTAAGGGTATACATATAATAATAATAATAATAATAATAATAATAATAATAATAATAATAATAATAATAATAATAATAATAATAATAATAATTGTTTTAAAAATAAAAAAAAATAAAAAAATATAATTAAGCCAATCATATTAACTACTTGGGCGATTTATCGACAAAAAGAGTATTCAAATCACACAACAAATTGAAGTGGAAAACTACATCACAATGTCCTTATTTGGCAATCAGCAATTAGTTCTTCAATATTCGTATATATCTAATATTTTATGCCCTAATTTTTATTTGCTCTCCCTTATGTCCCCTATTTGGTTTCAACCATACCTATACAATTATTTTATTGACAATTATAATAAATCTTGACTATATTATCTTGCATTTGTAAACTTAGAATTACCTATTTAAATATGTAAATTTAACATTCAATTATCTATGCATGAACAATTGCAATATAATCTTGTCCTGATATATTTTAAAGAACTTATTTTAAAAAAAAATAAAATAAAATAAAAAAACATTGGGCATTATCTCAATCGCGCAATGCACTTAAAAACTAGTACTCCTCATACGTGTCAAACTGGTTTCTCCCTGTCATGGGCTCATTAGGGAAAAGACAATAGCTCTTGACTAGTTGTGCCCTTCAAATCACCTCGATCTCCTTCATAGTAAAGTCAAAGACTAGTGACAAGATCCTCAAATTTATCCAGGTTGACATGTCTGACTCAACCATATCTTAGCGTCTAAGACCACTACAAGAAATTTCACATTTAGTGATAATAGAAGTTGTCACCAAAATTATTGATTTTGGTCACTATTGAAATTAGTGACCAATTTTTGAAGTCGTCACATGTCGTCACTATATCCTTCGTCACTATTGTAATAGTAACGACTTTTGAAAAGTTGTCACAATTACTAAGACTTTTGTGACAATGGTTACGTACACTTAAAAGTAGTATTTGAGTGATATCAATAGTCGTCACAATAAATGTACATTTGGTGACGAAATATTTTATTACAAAAAATTGATCTAGTGACAACTAAAATCATTGCAATTAATGATTTTATTTTGACAACACTTTAGTCACAATACTTATACTTATTTGTGAGAATTGTTATTGACTCAAAAATGATAATCAATGACCTAAAAAGTTGTAACAAATAATTATTTTGTTGTGACAACAATCATTGTAACAAATGTTGTATTTATTTGTGACAAAAAGATGTTAACTCTGAAACAATCATTGATGCTAACTAAAGTCGTAACGACAATACTGAAAATTAGTGACAAAACTTGTGTCACTAAAATAAGTTGAAATAATGTCACTATTGTCAATCTTTATGTTTTTATAAGTGACCATTATTTGGTCACAATTTTTTTTTCCAAATAATACTAGCCAAATGCACACAATATATAATTATTTATTTCAAAATTTTGTCATAATTAAATGTTTTAATTTAATTATTATCAGGAATAAAATAATTCATTCAACAAATGTTACTCGTCAAATTAAAAAAAAAATATATATATATATATATATATATATATATATATATATATATATATATATATATATAAAGAGATCTAGACAATATATGTTGTT